ATTAGGAAGATGCTCAAGGGTATTTGAAGTATTCATCCCCTCCTATGCTACAAGGTCAAGTCTTTCTGAGTTGGAGAAAGGCAGAGCAAAAATATCAAGTATGGGGGTGAGGTATGTTGTAAAATACTTTTAAATCTTTCCTATATATTTTTTCAGAATATGGGTGTCTTTGATAGGGAGGTAGATAGATTATGGTTTCTATAGAACAGGAACAATGTTTCACTTTCTTTTCCATCTTTGAAAAATAATGTTTTTTAACTGTTTAAGCTCTATTGTGTGCAAGAATAGATAGCCTTGCTAATTGAATGTTGTAGCATTTATGTGAATTTGTATTCAGAAGCACAGCATGTATGCTATTCTCAAAAGATAGTTTAAAAATCTTCCATCTCGTAGCCACCAATACTAGATGGGTGGATGTAAACTTTTATATGTAGGCAGAGTCTTCTAAAATCTATAACAGCATTACAGTATTAGAAATAAATAGCTAAAATATTAGACATTACTTTCAAACCATTTTTACAATTCTCTAAAAAAATTGAACAAGAAAACATAAAATCATGACTTACACTGTCCTAGCCTGTTTTCCTCAAATTACCACTTAGTTTCTTAGTTGCCAGTGATAATTGTACTACTCAATATGACTAAGAATTCTACTAGTTTCTGGGGTGTGCAGTCTGGATATATCTGAGCAATAGGTGACAAAACTGGGTAGGATCTGAATAAATTTAATAGAACACCAAGTAATTACACCATTAATCTAGTGACAACACATTTATTTCAGTAATTAAAATACCTAGAACTCTCCCTTCAAGTTACGCAGAAAGCATCTGCTGGAATTCTGGGAAAGCTCTGTAGAGACTGAACCCTCTAAATACTGTAGCCTTGCATGGTTGACCTAGATGTGAGGATACCAAATTAAAGCTTGTGCTCCAATTATAGCTGTTCTGTTTTGGCTAGCATGATAATTAAAAAAATCCACTTTTTAAGGTGACAGATGGCCATCCAGCCTCTGCATAAAAACCTTCAGTGGAGAAGACCACCACACCAAGGAGGCAGCATATTCCACTGCTTGGTTGCCCTTCTATGGACATCTTCTAACTTTTCAATATCCTTGGATTGTGGTGGCCAGAACTGTATACAGTCTTATTCCAGGTGAGGTCTGGCAAGCGCAGAATAGAGTGGGACTATTATTGACTATTTCCCTCAATCTCTCCTATTGATGCAGCCAGGAAAAGCCAGGCTTTTTTGGCTGCTGTATCACACTATATTGACTTATGCTCGTCTTGTTGCTGTTTACGACTCCTAGATCCTTTTTGCATTTTCTGGGTGTCACCCATCTTATATCTGTGCATTTTATTTTTATTCTCCTTGTTGAAATTAATTTTTTTTTAAATTTTGACTCAGCTCTCTACAGTCATTTTGGATTCTGATCCTGTCCTCAGGGGGTATGAGTTATCTCTCCCAAGTTGGTGCCATCTGCAAATGTGATAAGCATGCCTTCTATTCCGTTGTCCAAATCACTGGTAAAGATCTTGAATAGCACTAGGCCCAGGGCAGAGTCCCATGGAACCCCACTGGTCACTTCTCTCCAGGATGAAGAGGAGCATTGGTAAACACCCTTTGGTGTCAGCCAGTCAATCAATTCCCAATAAACCGAACAGTACCATTCACATTTTATTAGCTTTTTTTGTGAGAATGTAATGGGGAACCATGTAAAAGGCCTCACTGAAATCGAAATATGTAGTATTCACATCACTAATCTGCCAGGCTTGTATCTATTAACAAAAGACAAGGTTAATCTGACAAGGCTTGTTTTTTGAGAAACCTGTGTTGACTTTCTGTAAGTATGGCATTCCTTTCTAAGTGTTTACAGATTATCTGTTTAATTTTCTGCTCCATAATCTTTCCTGGTATTGATGCCAGGCTGACTGGGCAGTTATTGTTTGGGTCATCTCCCTAATCCCTTTTTTGAAGATAGGGGCAATATTTGCCTTTTTCCAGCCTGCTGGAACTTCTATTCTCCATAAAAATATTTAGGACATTATTTATTAATTGCCTCCCTCTAGTACAGAAAAATCATAGCTTCTGGTAGCTTCAAAATGCTTTTCAGCAAAGTGCAGACCCAGATATATATAAAAGAGTGCACCTGTTCTAAGAGATGCCCAGTAAGGGTCCATTTAGATGTAGGACTACTCCTAAAAACCATAATCTTAGAATAGTTGGCAAACCACTGTTCTTTTCAGCACTGATAGTACACTTTGTGAGCCCTGCCACCATTGCAGCAGTTAAAGCTTCAGGAGTGGGAGTGCTTGCCATCTAACTGTTTCTACATTACGTCATCATGATAGATAATCACTCGTGGCCCATAATTGTTTTCCAAGAGAAGAGTTGGTGGTGGATCTATAAGTGACTGTAGAGACCTATTCTGGATCTGCATTGTCTTTCGCAATGAGGACACATTTAAAGATGGAAGGCAGTCTCAGCAAGGGCTTGTTTGACGTGCTTTCCCCTTAGCACTTTTCTCCCTTTTGCCCCCTATTTGTGCCTCTTCAAAATCCACAGCACCACTGGTAACAACTGACCTTCAGTTACAATGCTCAAGAGCCAGGGTTTCCTAGTTTTTGGTGTTTATTCCAATTTTTTAAAGGTTAGCGTTAATCTCTTCAATCTCTTTTGCTGCCCACTTAAATTCCATTTTCTGTTATTGAGTTGAGAGCAAAGTAACTGCTTTTGGAGACTGTCATCAGGCATTCAGACAATGTGGCCGGTCCAACAAAGTTGAAGTTGGAGAATCATTGCTTCAGTGCTGGTGGCTTCTTCCAGAATGCTGCCGTTTGTCTGCCTGTCTTCCCAAGAGATTTGCAGGATTAAAAAAAAATCTCAGTGAAGTATTACCTGCATAACTGGTTTTCAGAACAAGATAGGACAGAATATATAAACACTTTGTACAAGGGTATCTACAGTATCTATTCTAAATACGTAATTGCTGTTTGTACCTGGCTTACAAAAATATGCAATCACTACACCCAGTTGCATATTCTTGATTCCTATTCATACTTGGCAGTAAGCCTTGTAAAAGCATACTCCCCAACAGCCCTGGTTTGACAAGGATAGTCCTACTTAATCATCTGTTGGACTACTTTTCCAGCTGCTTTTAAAATGCCCTCCTTTCTCTCTCGTTCTCCTTTATCCTGGCTTACTTGAATTGCTGAAGAGTTCAAAGTGCAAAAAGTAGCTTGCACTAAATCCATATCAAACTCAAACTAGGGTCTCCTAGTTTGCGTGTTCATTCTCCTTAATGCATTTCTCCACTTGATTACTTTGTGGATGTTGCTTTACCATATGTGCCTCAGTTTGATCTGTCAAATATTTGTAGGTTTTTAATAGGAGAATCAGTTTATTGCATATATATATATATATATCTTCTYAATCYTGTAAATACAAAGCAAGGGGGGATGAATATAGAGAAATAGTGAATTGTATGCTTCACAACTCAGGTACTTATGCATGGATAAGGTAAAGGTAAAGGTTTCCCCTGACATTAAGTCTAGTTGTGTCCAACCCGGGGGGGGGGGGGCTGCTCATCTCCATTTCTAAGCCATAGAGCCGGCATTGTCCGTAGACACCTCCAAGATCATATGGCTGGCATGACTGCATGGAGCACCATTATCTTCCTGCAGAAGCGGTACCTACTGATCTACTCACATTAGCATGTTTCCGAACTGCTAGGTTGGCAGAAGCTGAGGCTAATAGTGGGAGCTCACCCCGCTCCCTGGACTCGAACCGCTAACCTTTTGGTCAGCAAATTCAGTAGCTCAGCAGTTTAACCTGCTGAGCTACTAGGGGGCCCTGTGCATGGATTGCAGGATCTAAAACTACCAAGATAAAAAGATAAACCACTAGATTTTTAGTTTCAGACTAATATTAGATCATCATGAGATAAGAAGTAAAAATATATTCAGGAATTCTGAATAAACTTCTAGCCTAGTTTTTTTGGTGAGCTTCATTCAATTCCAGGTTATCTAGCTAAGGAGGGAGGAGGTAGAGAAGGAAGAAAGGAGAGAAAGAGGGGAGGAAGGAAGGAATGGAGAGAAGAAAGGATGGAACCAAAGAACGAAGGAAGGAAGGAGGTAGAGAAGGAAGAAAGGAGAGAAAGGGGGAAGGAAGGAAGGGAGGAGAGAAGGAAAGATGGAATCAAAGAGCAAAGGAAGGAAGGAAAGAGGTAGAGAAAGAAGAGAAGAGAGAAAGAATAAGGGAAAGAAAAAGGGGGGCAGGAAGAAGAGAAAGAAAGAAAGGAGAGAAAGAAGAAGGTTGGTCAATAGAAAGGCCCTTTTCACACAGCTGAATAACATCCCATATTATCTGCTTTGAACTGGAATATATGGCAGTGTGGATTCAGATAACCCAGTTCAAAGCAGATATTATAGGCCTTTCCACACAGCCCTATTATAAATCCCGCATTCTCTGAATGTGGACTCAGATAACCCAGGGGCCTTCCACACAGCCATGTAACCCAGAATATCAAGGCAGGAAATCCCACAATATCTGCTTTGAACTGGGTTATCTGAGTCTACACTGCCATATATTCCAGTCCAAAGCAGATAATGTGGGATTTATTCATCTGTGTGGAAGGGGAAGGCATTACGGGATTTTCTGCCTTGATGTTCTAGGATATAGGTTTGTGTGGAAGAGCCCTGGGTTATTTGAGTCCATATTCAGAGAATTCAGCAGCAGAGGAGCCAAGAGTAAAGGCCAACTTCTTCACTGTGTCTGGTTGAGATCCAGAGCTCGATGCTATGGAATCATGGGAGATGTAGTTCGGTGAAGCAGTAACACTCTCTGGCAGAGAAGACCATGGATTCTCCCCTCATTCTCGCAACGGCTGCTGCCCAGGCCGCTTTGTGATTGGCCGAGGCCGAAAGACACGTCGAAGGCCAGGAGCGAGGTCACGTGACTGGGCGGTGTCGTGGGCGGGGCCGCCGAGGGGGCGGGGCCACTCCCTCCCTGTGGTGTCCCTCACGCCCCTCCTTCCTTTCCATGCAGCCGGGCAAGTTGGAGGCAGCGGCGCAGCTATGGCCGGGGTGCTCTCCTACGAGAGCTTGGTCCACGCCGTGGCTGGAGCGGTGGTAAGCGGGCCTAGGAAGAAACTACACTGAAGAACAGGCATGGGCCAACTTGGGCCCTCCCTCCAGGTGTTTTGGACTTCAACTCCCACCATTCCTAACAGCCTCAGGCCCCTTCCTTTTCCCCCTTTCCCGCTAAGCGGCTGAGGGGGAAAAGGAAGGGGCCTGAGGCCGTGAGGCATTGTGGGAGTTGAAGTCCAAAACACCTGGAGGGAGGGCCCAAGTTGGCCCATGCCTGCTGTAGAATGAATACAGTTTGGGACCACTTTAATTGCCAATACTTTGGGATCCTGGGAGTTGTAGTTTTGTAAAGCCTTCAGCTTCCTCTTCCAAAGAGTGCTGTTGCCTCACCAAACCACAAACTCCATGATTCCATCACTTTGACAGTTACAGTGGGATCAAAGCGCATTAATTCCACAGTATGGACAGCTTGTCAGGTAGAGATAATCGCTACTTCTTTGGAATTTATCATTTGTGTTGTTGAAGGCTTTCCTGGTCAGAATCACTGGGTTGCTGTGAGTTTTCTGGGCTGTATGGCTATGTTCCAGCAGCATTCTCTCCAGACATTTCACCCACATCTATGACAAGCATCGTCACAGGTTGGGAGGTGTGTTGGAAAACGGTTTATGTATCTGTGGAATGTCCAGGGTGGGAGAAAGAACTATTGTCTGCTTGAGACAAGTGTGAATGTTGCAATTATATAATAATAATAATAATCTTACTGGGATCTGCACGCATTATTCGCCGATACATCACACAGTCCTAGACACTTGGGAAGGGTCTGACGTGTGATCCAATTCAACAGCCAGCAGAGTGTCTGCTGTGGACTCATCTTGTTGTGTTTCAAATAATAATAATAATAATAATAATAATAATAATAATAATAATAATATGATTCATTGGAACCTGTGCCACAAATAGCTGTTGACTTGTAAATGCCTTTTTACTTTTAATGTTTTGAGTGTTTGCTATCATTATATCTCGTAGTAAACATGTTCTAAATGTTTGATTTATATATTTAAATACCTATGTTATTTTTGAGTTGTTCTATAAGTACACCTGATGTTGTTTATTTTATTGTTATGATTTGATTTGTTTGTTACGTTATGCTGGCATTGAATGTTTGCCAAGTTTCTGTTGTAAACAGCCCTGAGTCCCCTCGGGGAGATAGGGCAGTATAGAAATAAAGATGATGATGATGATTATTATTATTACCATCTGCCTGCGACAAAGAACTGGTGGGATCACAAGCCGGAAAAAGTTACAAAGAATGAACACGTCAAACTCCTCTGGGATTTCTGAATTCAGACAGACAGAGTTTTGGAGCACAATACTCCTGACCTCACAATCGTATTAAAAAACGAAGTGTGGATTGTCGATGTTGCAATCCCAGGTGACAGCAGGATTGAAGAGAAACAACTGGAAAAGCTGACATGATATGAGGATTTAAAGATCGAACTGCAAAGACTGTGGCACAAGCCAGTCAAGGTGGTCCCTGTGGTGATTGGCACACTGGGTGCAGTGCCTAAAGACCTTGGCCTGCAATTAAACACAATTGGCGCTGACAAAATTGCCAGCTGCAGAAGGCTACCTTGCTGGGATCTCCACACATCATTGCCGAAGTGTCCGACGTGTGATTTAATACAACAGCCAGCAGAGTGTCTACTGTGGACTCATCTTGTTGTGTTTCAAATAATAATAATAACTTTCTTTTTATACCCCGCCAGCCATCTCCCCTAAGGGACTCGGGGTGGCTTACAAGGGACAAGCCCAAAAATTACAATTAAACACACAAGTAAAACACTTTAACCAATTAAAACAATGAGATAAAAACAATACAACACAATTATAAACTACATAAGAAAAATATGGATGGAGAAAAAGAACATAGCTGAAGTACAGATTCAATAAGTGCAATACATTTTACAGGAGTGAAAGAAAAATACAATAATCCAATAGACTGGGCAGGAAATACTGTCATAAAACATGTTGAGTAGACCATATGAGTGCTGGTGTAAAGTGCGGAACTCAAATAAAGACAGAGAAATTACTGGTGAGCTGCTTAATTGAAAGCCACTTTGATTAGCATTTAATGGCCTTGTAGCTTCAAAGCCTGGCTGGTTGATGCCTGGGGATCCTTTGAAAGGAGGTGCTAGCTGGCCCTGGTTGATTCTTGTCTGGAATTCCCCAGCTTTTTGAGTGTTTCTCTTTATTTACTGTCCTGATTTTAGAGGGTATTTTTAATATTGGTAGTCGGATTTTGTTCATTTTCATGGTTTCCTTCTGTGGACTTCAATGGATTCTCTGTGTAGCCTGACATGGCAGTTGTTAGTGTGGTCCAGCATTTATGTATTCTCAAATAATATGCTGTGTCCAGGTTGGTTCATCAGATACTCTACTATGGCTGACTTCTCAGGTTGAATTAGTCTGCAGTGCCTTTCATGTTTCTTGATTTGTGTTTGGGCAATGCTGCGTTTGGTGGTCCCTACATAGACTTGTCCACAGTTGCATGGTATATGGTAGACTCCTGCAGATGTTGTCATTTGTTGAACATAGCATTTGATGGATTTCCTTAGTGCGCCTGTAGATAGTGTGTAGGTTGTGTTTCTTCATCAGCTTTCCTATGTGGTCAGAGGTTCCCTTGATGTATGGTAAGAACACTTTTCCTCTGGGGGGATCTTTGTTTTTACTCTCGTGGCTTGTTCTTGGTGTTGTAGCCTTTACAATGTCTATGGTGGAGTATCCATTGGCCTGTAGAGCCCAATTTAGGTGGTTCAGTTCACCTTGGGGGAGGTGGGATTCACTGATTATTTATTTTTTTTGCACAATCTGCCAGGGCTTTAATTGTGCTTCGTTTTTACTTTCATAAGAGAGCTTTTGCAAACCCACTTCCTTGAATGCAGTTCCTTGTTGGGTGCCTTCAACATGGCAGGTGGTTGGACCAGATGACCCCTTGGGCTCTCTTTTGATTCTCAGTTATTCTGGATTTATGGCAACCCTTAGGTGAATCTATCACTCAGTGAGTTTTGATAGCCGACTGGGAATTCCAGCCCAGGTTTCGATAGTCCAACACTTATTTATTTATTTATTTATTTACAGTATTTATATTCTGTCCTTCTCGCCCCTCAGGGGACTCACTTAAACCACTATACCATACTGATTCTCTTGGATGCAGTACCGAGTGATATTATTAAGGCCTCAAATAAAATTTCCCATACTGTTCCCCATTTTCCCTATTTGATCTGAGTTCAAACCAGAAAAGTAGTTTGCGCTCAATTACTGTATAAAGTCAGGCATAAGTCTAAAATTTTAGGCAAGAAATCTTCTACTGAAGTCTGGGTCGACTTATCTCCAGGACAGTTTAAGTACTGTACTTGAATTCTTACCAAAAATGGAACCATCCCCTTCTTGATTGGAGTGGCAAAAGGCAAGTGCTTAGTCAATTCAGAGAGAGAACCTAAAAGAAATAGCAATCCCTTTTTCTCTGCCATGGTGCCACGTCTGGCTTTTTGAATGTCTGGATGGGGAAACGGCAGTGGTGACCAGGGTTAACTGGCCTCACAAGGTGACAGTGCTTTCCCCTTCTACTGAATGACCCTTGATTTATCCACAGATCTGATCAAAATCCATACTTTGGAACCATAACCTTGACTTATACATGAATGTATACAGTAACCTAGTAGAAGGGAGAGGAGTGTAATCTTGCACTTCTCAGCAAACCAGACAAAAGCAAATTGTTGCAGCCTTTCAATCAATCAACAGATCTTCTCACTTATGTGTTCTTTCTTATTTATACCTTTTGCTAACCAGACTATACTCTGACAGTTACTTGAGCACACAAATCCCAGTGTTAATCTGTGAAATATTGGAGGATACGGAGTTGTCTGCATTCATCTTGCTGGACATTAAAAGTTGTGTTTGCTTGAAGATAAAACATTAAATTTTTCTGTTGGGTATTGAACATTATTAGCCTTGCTTTTTTCCCCAGGAAAAGTCAACCCTTTTCAGCAGAAATGGGAAAAAGCAGAGATAGGAGGAAATACTTTTTTAATGTCAGTCACTGCTTGAAGAGGTTTCTATGATGAAATTAGAGTGTGTCTGCTTGCACTCTTGTCCCAGTTATGATAATGAGTATTCTTAATCACTTAGTAATAGGTTGCTTGTACTGTTTTGTTGTTGTTGTTGTTGTACTCAATACCTCTCTGCCATATTGAGATGGCAGGTTTGTTTTACTTACCTGTACTCACCTTTCTCTCTCTCTCAGGGCTCATCAAGACTGTTGATTTGTGTTGAACCATTTAATAGCATTTCATGATGCTTCTTCGTCTAAATTAAAAATATTAAATAAAAAGATAATGTTATTTTTATTATTTGTGGTCATCTTGCTGGGTTGTAACTTGGGTTGTGGTATTTGACATGGTTGTATCAAACCACCTTTAATTACTTTGTCCTCGGAGATACTGCAGCTTGTGATCTTCTTTATGCCCAGTGTCTCCTTACAACTGTTATTTTTTTTATTTTGTTTATAAAACTTTATGATTCTTGCTATAAATGGTATGGTGGTATCAGTGTTTTTAGATGGTGCAAGGGGCATATTAAGCTAGTGGTTCTCAGCCTGTGGATCCCCATTTGTTTCGGCCCACAACTCCCAGAAATCCCAGCTTGTTTACCATGTGTTAGGATTTCTGGGAGTTGAAGGCCAAAACATCTGGGGACCCACAGATTGAGAACCACTGTATTAAGCAAAGAGTGAAACTATTTGTTAATGACTGCAAAAGTATGCCAGTTAACATCCCTGGCCAGTGTCATAAGACATTGGCCCAAAATGAAATAATAAATAGATGCACAGATTTGGAATTCAAAGTGTACCAGAGCATATTGTGACAGGAAAAAACTGAAGCATTTCACTAAGGAGTAAAATCTTATGTTAATTGACGAGGATGACAATGAATTATACTGGAGCATCTTCCAAAACATCAGTGGTTAGTACAGCAAAGAAAATG